GCATTCCTGGTTACCACCACTTACCACGCTTAGCAACTTTGGCAAGCTACTGACCATTTGCAGCTAATATCAGTTGTTCTGCTGCATGCTGCATATGGAAGCAGACTGGATGGGCTCCATCCACCTCAGTTAAAATCTTCAGCAAAATCTAGTCTTTTTTTCAGTTTTGCCTCTTTGAAATTAAGTTTATGTGCGGGGAGAGCACATCCTTAGAGGAGATGTGAGCACTGAACTTTGTTTTCCACAAAAGAGCAGATTGTTAGCCCACTACCACATTGTAGTCTCCTAGCTTTTTCGTGAACACTCTGCCTGCCCAGAACACTTCTGCTGAGAGATATGTAAACCAAAACAACCAATACAAGCACTTTCTCCAAGCATTCTGGTGTGGAAGTGGAACTACCTCTAAAGGAGCCTTCTAACTCTTTGAAAAGGTCAAAACAATGACCAGAAATTAAGAAGTTTTGGCCACTGGGGAAGTCTGGATCTAGAGCTGTCTTTGGTGTAATTCTGAAGCAACATTAACTTACTTCTACAGCACAATGATTTTCTACAGCCAGATATTGGTCTCATCACATATTATTGGACATTATAGCAAAATGTACTGTTTTAAAATATAGTCTACCTAGCTACTAGATAGAATTAGCAGACTTGCTTCTCATATAACCAGAAGAACCTTGTGGTCCAAAAGCCAGTTCTGATGATTCATAAAATATGTAAATAAAGATATGCAGAGAAGAGTACCCTCAGTTCAAGTTATAGATTTCATTATTCACGTCACTATGCATGCATATACATATATATATATAAAATTGTTTTCTGTCAGTTACATCATTGAAGGATGCATGCTAAATTGTATAGACAGTAACCACTTCTCAGACGACTTCGATATTTCAGTGTTTGGAACTATATTTATTTGGTTCATATTTGGCTTTCTTTCTAATGCTTTAGAGACTTTCTGAAGCATAGGATTTTCTGGAAAAGGCCCTCCAGTACACATCACCCTGCTTTTGGCAAAATGGATTGAATCAGCCACGAGACTGTTAGCACTTGCAGGCTGAAATTGCAGGTTCAATCTTTGCATCTATGTTAAAGATTAATCTTGTAAATGTTAAAGGAAAACAGATATACAGGTATTGCTTCCTATTGGGAACAATGCGTACTATATAACTGGAGCTTGCTGTAGCATCTGGTGAAATGAGTTCACAATTGCTCTTTAGTTCGCAGTAGTCCATGGAGAGGAAGGACATCTGAAACTCATACACGGTAGGTTAATGCTTGAATGTTAAAAATCAGTCTACACCTCTTTCCTCAGCTGAGCATCCTAGTAGTACTGAATATACCTTTTTACACCATACTTGCAAAGTGACACACCTAAAACTGTAGTATGGAAGGGACTAGATGTCTCTAATAATTCTTCCTTTTTCTTTTCAATTCTATCAGTAAGACTGGCTCACAAAGATGTTCAGACCACCACAAGACTTGATCGTTTAATTCCTCATGGACTGTGAGCCTAATCAAACCAGAGGTCTTTCCTTTTGCACTGTACAACTAGAATCAGAGCATAACATTTACCTCCCTCAAGGTAAACTCCAATTTTCTTTTGCTACTGATTATTTCCTGGCAAGAACACCTTCTGTTTAGCCATGTTAACAGGGTAATGCAGTAAGCCCTGGCTCCAGTCATTTAACCCTAGCTAGCCTAGTCTATATGCCACAGACTGGTAGAAAAGTTGGACTATGATGTTGCTAATTCTCAATAACTGCAACTGTATTTTATGACAGTTCTTAGAGAATCTGGTAGCTCACACATCTTGTTAAAGAAATTACAAATATAGAACATACAAGCTTATTTCCATTCTCCTGCTGGCTTTAGTTTTAATAGGCACAAGGCTGATATGCACCTCTTGTGCATGAGGACCAGTTGCATTACCCATACGCTGAATCGTGGCAGAGACTTTCCCATCTAATCCATATTCACATTCACCCACATTCAAGCTATTCAATGTTGATAATGAGATATACACTATAATGTCAGTGCAGTTCTGCTACTGTAAGGCTACAATGCAGTAGTGGGCAACCAGTCGGCTCTTCTGTGGAAAACAAAGTCCACTGTCGTTCTGAATATCCGAGGCACAAAGTGGCTGCTTACCCTGATCAGGTTCCTCTTCAGTCATAACATTTTGAATCACACATGAAGGATGTTGTTGTGTCTCATCTGAATAACCAATAACACTGCCTGGTAGAGGAACAGATGAGTGAATGGAGGTCTGTAATTTAGGGTCAGCATTACTCTTTACTGAATCTTTAGAGACTTGATAGATCGAAGGTATAACTGTTTGCACCCACGCTTCTGGAAAAAAACAAAACAAAACAAAATTAAAACAAATAAAGTCATTGTTGGTAATAAAATACTAGGACTGTTCCTGCTTGAATAAGCCCAAAGATGCAGCACAAGTGGAACACATCCTGAAAGATATTGGACCCCAGAAGTTTGGGCAGTTTTTTAAAGTGAAGAGTGTAGGACGCTGTTTATGTCTAGCAAAAGGATATTACTGCCATAAGGAAATTGTTCCATCAACTTTTGCATTGATCTACTTGGGCAGACACTGTGCTTTCTAAGGATAAATGATCGGCATTTGATCCTCTTCTAGGTTAGAATGGACCATAACACTCACAGCGAAGCTCTGTGTGCACCTGGCAATATTCTGTTTTTCCCTAAACTGCTCTTTAAAGCAATGCTAACTTCATTTCCCATTGATAAATTCATGAGGAACTGAATAATTTTCTTACTTGCCTGGACATTTTTCTTTTCAGAGTGGAATCTATTAGGGCAACTACACTACACTGTAATGTAGCACACCTGAGCAGTTGTTAAAAATACTGCTCAGCGCTCCACATTGCAACACGCTTTTCAGATGGCCATTTTTCAGCTAACCCTCATGCTTCAGTGTATCCTCTAACGCTTGCAGCTCTCCATCTTACACAGAATGTGCAGCTTAAATTCAGATTCAGCTCAGGCCTGCACAGCAGGCTCCAATACCAACAGCCTCTTAATTTGATTTTTAATGCTTTATCAGGATAAATATTAATTTCCCTTTCTGTCTCTCTTTTCTATGATCTCTACTTTTTCTTCATGTGCAAATGGTAGAAGTGAGGACCCTTCTTAGACTTGATCATAGTTTATCACTGTAGGCCAAAATTCCTACAGAGAAAACTTTAGTCACTCAGGGCATGATTATAGGATTTCATCACCTCCCCTAGATAGACTCAGTTCAGCAGCGAATCTCTTGCCCTACCGCTATTTCTTCTCCTTAATTCTCCTCACACTTTTGGAGAATCATATAGGAAGATTTCCATTAATAATGAAAAGGAGATAGTCTTTGCCGTATTCTGTTAGAGATTATTCTGTCTGGTGATTTTGGGACACCAAAAATTCTTTATAACTGTATAATGCTTCCACGTAATAAATGTAATAAGAATAATCACACTATTACAAGGGTCAGATTGGTTTCGCCACTCCTCCTCTCCTACCACCACCGCAGTCTGGAGTATTTTTTATGTTTCCTCCATCAATTTGCTCAGTAGCACTCGTCAAACAGACAACGCATGAATGTTTATATATAGGTAATAGCTTCCAAGCAACGTAGGTGATATTAGGCTGAGAGCCGAATGGCATCTTTTTGAAGCTGGAAGGATAACATACTGTTTTTCACTCAAAATGAGTATAGTAAGCATTTAAAGTTATCTGTATAATAAAAAAGCTGGAGTGTAAGAGCTCTATTCACAATATAGACTACCGTAAGCTACAACGTTATCTGAGTAGGAAAGTTTTATGAAAGCTAAATGCAAATACAGTATTGTTTAATAGTACCATGCACAAGTGAGAGAAAGAAGCAGCAGAAACACTGTGGGAAGAGAAAGATAGAAGTATTGGTGAAATATTTGTAAATAAATTTTATGGTAAGATTAAAGACGAGAGCAGCTTTTGAGTAAAGCATTTACTAGTAAGAGGCTCGTATCTGTAAAGAGAAAGCTGTCACCTATTTGATTCCTACTGCAGTCAGGATGCAAACATGGCTTTTTCACTTTCCTTTTTAATAAAAAGGGTTACACTATAAAATATCCTAATCTATCATCAGTTCTACTTCTGTACTCCACATAGCAGTGATTTAGAGGGAAAGAACTAGACGTAACAAGCTTTGATAAGCTCTCATTCTTGCAATCAGGATGCTACCAGCTTTGACTGAGACTAAAAGACTACTTTGCTTTATGGCTAGGCTAACCAGCCTGCAATCTAGTGGAAATAATTCAAAGGAAAGTTTATCTCATGATCAGAACTTAGTTTGAATAAAAGCACTGTCACAGTTCACGGTGGGATCTGGTACACTTCTTTCAGACTGTAAGATCAGCAAGGTGAAATCTGTGCCTTCCTTGGTACTTGGAAAGATCCTCATCTTCTAAACTAAATATATATATGAAAAAAAACAGTGCTAGTGACAGTGGGTGCTCCCTCAACTTTCCCTTTGTAAGTAGGGAATTCCATCAAACACTTCTGCCAAGAAACTGCCATGCTTAATCTTGTAGAGTGGGAGGTTTAATAGCGCATGCTTCTAAAGAACAAGGAGAAAATACCTGATTCATCTATACAGTAGAGGTACACATGGTAATCAATAATAAAATATTGGAAGTAATTCTAAGCTTTACTTAACCTCTCATTATTTCTACATAATATTTTAGATATTAGCATGACTGGCTTTGGGATTTTGGGGTGGGGGGAGGATTAGCTTTTCCTACAAACCTACATTTTGGCATCCTTTCCTTCCCTGAGATGCTATTTATTTCTGCCTACCGTTATTTAAGATGCAAAAAGAGAGGCCTATAATTTTAGAAACAACTCAATTCCTTGGGGTGCAACATGAATAGATTTGTTTTCTAGTTAAAAGGTTAATTTTCACGTCCCCCTTACTTCCAACAATGGATCTCAACACATTATTTATTTTCAGCTTTAAGCCCCTGATAGTATTTTCATTTCCAAGACTATTTTGGTGCTTTACAGGGGATAATAATCTCAGATAAAAGCTTCAATTTGCTTGCTGAGTTTTAGCTCCTCTGTCAATGCAGGAACTTTCCATACATCCTCCAAGGAAATTTAGCATGTAGCATTATTTTGCCATTCTTTCCTTTGAGTGTTAACTGGTGGCTGTCCTGTATATACACACAACTGCTAAATGCTTGATGAGGAATGTAAAAGATCCTCACATTAATAATCCTCATGCTGAAAAGTAAACATGCAGGTTGTGCAGACTGCATGGAAAACAAAATTCATGTAAATACATGCATTTTCAAAAAAGGTTTACTTATCTTTTCCCGTTTCCTTAAAAAAAAACTTGTTGGAACAGAACTGATGATTAAAAAAGGTACGAGCATATATTTTTTGGTTATGCATACTGGTTTCCTTTGCATTTATTTATCTAGCCACCTGTCTGCTAATTCAGTCTTTCTTTTAGTTTCTACAGTTTGTCTGCTGTGGGAATCAAGCTTTTAGGCTTCTAATTCACTAAGTCCTAGAAACTTTTTAAAAGTCACAGAATCACAGAATCACAGAATGGTTGAGGTTGGAAGGGACCTCTGGAGATCATCTAGTCCAACCCCCCCTGCTCAAGCAGGGTCCTCTAGAGCACAGTGCACAGGATCACGTCCAAGCGGGTTTTGAATATCTCCAGGGAAGGAGACTCCACCACCTCTCTGGGCAACCTGTGCCAGTGCTCTGTCACCCTCACAGGAAAGAAGTTTCTCATGTTCGGACGGAACTGCCTGTGTTTCAGTTTGTGCCTGCTGCCTCTTGTCCTGTCCCTGGGCACCACGGAGAAGAGTCTGGCCCCATCCTCTCGACACCCTCCCTTCAGATACTTGCACACAGTGATGAGATCGCCTCTCAGTCTTCTCTTCTCCAGGCTAAAGAGGCCCAGCTCTCTCAGCCTTTCTTCATAGGACTTGTCAGCTTGCTTCAGCAGGCTAAGTCAATTTGCTTCCCTCCAGTCCTCAGACAACACAGAAGTCTTAAGGAAGATATTAAATTTCTTCATACAGTCCCAGGGGACAGAAGTCCTCCCCATGACAGCAGGAGAGGGTTAAAGCCTGCCAACCTCCCATACACCTGCGAGGTCTAATAAAACTTCTTGGAGCCAGGCTTATAAACCCAGCTGGAACAAAAGGATAAACGGCTATTGGAAGGCAGGGAAACTCTGGGCAGCTAGCTTTTAGGGAACAGCTAGGGCATTTATAGCTGTTGTTTGAAAGTGATGAGATTTCATTGAAAGGAACAGGGAATACTTCAGAGAATTAACCATCTTCTTATAGAGTGAAAGAAAAAGGGAGAATTATGATTCCAGTTCGTCTCTTATAAAGATATATGCTCAAGGGACAAGACAGGAACTGTGATAGCCTGTATCTCTGTGATGTGACGAGGAAACTAAACTAACCCCCCGTGAAGCATCAGTCTTTAATGCTGCCCTGTGGACAGGGCTGCCACTCGTCTTGCAGTGACTCTGCAAGGCTGTGTCTGAACTCGCCATGTTTCGTGCTTCTGCTTTACACCACGTGAGTCCACCTGAGCACCGACGCTGGCAGGGGAGGAGATTGGTCGTCCTCAGTGTAAGTTATCAGTGCATAATCAGCTAGGAAGGAAAGAGAGCAACAACTCTCTGTGGCTACATCCCCAGCTACGATGGTTCAGGGATCTGGATCCCTAGCTATGCTGAGGAACCTGCTTGGTCTAGATGAAATCTTATTTTATATTTCAAAACTGATGCCTGGGAAGCATATTTTTTTCTTTTTAATTAAAAGCCCTAATTTAAAATAGGAGTGGTCAGTCTTTGCATATTCATTTTATAGCTAAGCCATTCCCACTGATGTTTGTCCACTGTGTGGAGAAAGAACTGCTTAAGAATTCACAATACGAATTCTCCAGACTTAGCTGCAGCTGAAAATGGCTGTTTCCCTATCACATGCTACTTCTCTGCTGTTTCATGCCAACTGCAATAAGATGTAGCACTCTAATATCCAGAGGTTATGCAGCATATGTTCTGAGGTCTGTCTTGCAGCTTTATCACATGCCACATGTCCCTCTATTTAGATACCTTTTTTTTCCCCTATAGTGAATCCTTTCTTATGTATTGTACCAACATAAACTGCTCCACGAGAGGAAGTTATTTTATTTTTGTAGTAGAGGCCTGTAGCAATTTTGAAAGAACAGGAATGCAAGGGCCTTCATAGTACTGCTTAAAACAGGTAAACAGATGGAAGATCACTCACTCCTGGGGGTGAAATTCCAAAGTCTCGTATCGTTTATTCTTTGCTTTCCTGGTAACAAAGAAGTTTTTCTTTAAAAAAATTAAGACACCAAAGTATGCCAACATGGAAAAGCATTACATTACTATTATTATTATTGTTATTGTTATTGTTATTATTATATTACAATTTGAAGGGAACATTTTCCTGGTGGGGTAAAAATATTTGCAAATTCGAATGTGCATTTTTAAGTGATCAAAACAAAGTCAAACAGAAAAATGTTACTGCACCACACTCTAATTTCCTCTTTCCTCATAACAAATCCCTCCTGAAAGCAGATAAGACAAAGAAGAAGCAGATGTGCCATGTTGCATTTGTTATCTAAAGGGAATTTTTCAGAGGTTCTCAGAGCAAAGGCAAATGGTCTGGCACTTGTTTTCTTTGCAAACAAGAAATATTTCTTATATTTTGCCTCCTTAGTAGTAATTTAGTTGATTTCTTCTATTGCAATTAGTAGAATATTCCACCAGAAATAAAAGACAACTTCATAACAAGCTAGTTGGGCTTGCTTGTTAGAGAGCCTAATGTAATATCATTTTTCATACAGAATTCCAGGCATCAGAAGGTTATTGCTACAAAATCTTGATTTTGTACTGATTGACTAATATTCAGCTTTTTTTTTTTTTTTTTGCCAGTAGCAACAATCCAATAGTACTCAGCCATCAGAGAAAACATACAGGTTTAACACTCAAAAGCATGTTCTGTAGAACATCCCATATAATAGCCATTAGTCCAAATGAAACACAAAATTGCAATCCTTTTCTTATACCAAAAATACATCTTGGGAAAGGCATGCATGTGCACATTTCATTTATTTTCTTTTATTGCAAGACCAAATATTAAATGTTACAATGACTGGTATTCTGAAGAGGTATACGCTGGCAACCAACTACTTCTGTGAGATGGAAGAAAGGCTAGGTTTTGCAGACAGTAAAGCCAGAAGAATAGCTAACTTTTCCCGGCATTAGAAGTGACATCCAAAATTCATTAACTTTAACAGGAATATTATCAATCCAATCCCTATCCTAAACCAGTGTAACATAAATAGGAGGTTAGTTGCTCAGACTGTATCTGATCAGTTGCAGCTATGGTCTGAGGGAAGACAAAGGGCTCTGTGAGCAAAAAAACATATCTCCAGAAAAGGCTAATTTCTATTGAAACCAGCTATTTTATGAAGTTCCTTTTTTTCTGTACAACAAATATCTGATTAAGAATTTAGTACAGGTCGGTCAAAAAGTCCAGATAGAATAACTAATTTGATTTTATTTGTCCATACTAGCATCATCTTTTAAGATAAAACTGCTATTTTTGAAAAAAAAATCACAAGCACTACCAACTTTACTTCTGAGTGCATCTTTGTATTATAGTCTGTTTCACTTGTCAGGAAATTCTTTCCTTTCTAACTAGGAACAATTAGTCTTTGACAAAAACTCTCATTCTCTGTGGGGAAGCTACTTCCATTGCTTGTTGAATTGTGCTCTATATTTAGAGTGTTAAAGAAAAACAGAAGTGGATGGAAATCCAGTCTTTACATCTGCCTGTGGGTTTATCAGTGAGTTTACAGAACAGAAAAGGGGTAGAAGGAGGCTACCACTTTTGATATAAGTATACCAGAGCAACCTGCTCAAAATGGTATTATGCTCAGGATCTCAATGGCAGTGGGGATTTCACAGGATTAGGCCTTGTGAAATGGAAGCCAGATGGCCAGAAGTGCAGCATGCCAACTTTATCACTGAAAGAAGCTTTGCTATGAAAGCATGGATGCATGGGTTAGATGGTGTGCATTAAGCTAGCGAGGTCTGCAGTTTCCTTGAGGTATGAGTAGCTGTAATTCCAGGCAAAACGCACCCAGGTAGGCCTCATGTGGCTAAACAGTATTTGTATGCTTGTATTTTTAATAATCACAAGCCATCACAAAGCACTGGCAAGCCACACATCATCTGGCAAGGCTGCCCACAATAAACATCTGAGGAGCAGCCATGAGAACATGCCTCAGGCCTGTCGATGTCTTGCATTATTGAATTATGCCTCAGACAAATTCACAGACAGGCCTGTGCTGTGGGTACTAAGGAAACTGGCTAAAGACTTATGCCGGAACGCCATAGCAGCACACCATGGAAACTTTTAAACTGCTCAATTTTCTGCAATGCAGAAAGGGGTGCCATGCGGCTGGGCTATTCTAAGTATGTGGTAATCCACTGAAACATAACCTGAGATTCAACTTCCTGATCTTCAGTGGAGCAAGAATGTAAGCGCTTGCCTTAACTAGTTGAGTACTGGACATTTTGTAGTGGATATCTCTCTGGTGCCAATAGGATATTTCCATTCTAGGACTATATTGAAGGGCTGTCTGTCTGTAAAGTCCCAGTATCCCCACTAAAAGTTTTGATTTCGATAAGGTGACATTCTCCTTGGAAAAATATTTGTCAGAAGATTCAGTTCTATTTTCATATTTTCTCTTCCTTATTTCATTGCAGCTCAGCTATCAGGAGTAATCAGGATAACAAGAATAACTGTTCCAACAACCTCATGTGACTGTATATTAATGAGGGAAAACTCACAAGGAAAACAATAATAAAACATTCTTCTTTTGTGCCTGTTTTTGGATTATTGGGCACTTGTATTTGTATTTCCTAAAGAATTTCAAGTTCATTAGTCAATATTCTGAATAAATTTAATTCTCATTGACTTCAGCTGGAGTTGAATTCACTCATTTCTCTCCTAGCATCTCAGCTCTGACATTTTTATGCAGTTGACCTTGTGAACTTTATGAGCATTACCACTTGGGTTCTGAAATGCACTAACCATAAAGCAATGAGGATCACATTTTGAAGTGGTTACTTCTGCTGAAGAAGGTCTCAGCTCCAGACCTTGAGAAAAACCCTTTGTCTCCCTCTTCCACTTTGGAAGACATAAAAAGAAGGGATGCAAGTAAGAACTGTTGTTTCTTTAGTAGCCTGTTGTAGTGGGTCAACAGTGGAAGACTGGTGAGGAGGTTGGAGCACGCTGAGCGATCAATTCTAGCTGCCAAAACACTTGGTGTGCAGAACTCATGAGGAACAGCAGGTCGCAACCCTTCGACTTGCACCATGTAGGCATCGATTTGGACTTGTTATCTGTATACCTAATGGATTACTGCTTCTCTTGTTATCTGTAGCGCACGTGCAGTACTCTACATTGTAGCCTATTAATCCGCCTTAAACTCACTCCCCGCTGAACCTTGCCATGGGCTGATGCACTGCCGTGCCTGGGACAGCCCGGTCGCTTCCCCACAAGGTTCCTGGAGCTCCCCTTGTGGTTGGGAGATTTCAAGGTGATAAACATCTAATCACTTTGCTCCAGAGTGGTGTCCTCTACCTCTGCATTTTCCAAGCGTCAGTTACCACCCTTAATACATCTATTAAAGATTGTCTTCAGTGAGACCCAAAAGTTCCAAAAAGGAAAAGCCCAGTGGAAATTTCTTTGTACCAGTTTTTGAAACAGTAGCATGACTTTTCAACAGAGATATAGTATCTTCCACTTTAAACTAATCTGATCCGTAATAGAGCAGTCACTTCTCTGCAGCTGAAATCACTGAATCGTTAGGTCGCAAACCAACATCGGGGAAGGAGAGGCCTGTGTGTTTAACAAACGTGTTATTTACGGTTGCAAGGCTACTGCCAGGTGACGTTATTACCTATGCTCACATAGGTGGCAGGTATATTCATGTTCTGCTCCAAAACTACCTCGGGACCTGCCTAGGTTGCAGCAATTAGAGCATTTGGGAATACAGACTTAGTCACTGCAGCGGATACTATTTCATCCAGCACCGTAACCTTCCGCGTAAGTGGCGCTGTGACGGCTAACACGCAATGGTCTGGCCGTAAGGTACAAGGATTATGCTAACACACTGAACTAGCTGGGCCAAGGGCTATTGTAATACAAGTTAAGGCAATGATAAGTTACCTCATTAGTCTTCCAACTTCACGGATACTTGTCTATCACAAATGCCAGTGTGCCAGTTAATGTAGCTGTAAGGCCATATCTGAAACTGTCAATTACTATGACAAAGCTATATTCTGCTCTGCCAAATGCTCTTTTCTGCTTCCCTCTCCCCCACAAATTGAAATATAAATGGAAAGTGATTGAGACTGGACCCCTGGGCTTACAGTTGGGCACAATAGGTTAACTTTATAAATAGCTAGACTGGATCAGTAATGTTCAAAAAATCACCAATGTGCTCAGT